CCCCCCCCCCACAGTCCTGCCACCTCCAGCGCCACATTATTGCCTCAGCCCCGAGCCTTCCCCGCTCCCTCCTTAGGCATTTTTCTCAGTTCAGACCTTTTGTGAGTAACAATGTGCTGCGTTTGTATAGAACTCCGAACTTTCTTCTCTCTGGCTTTGGGGTCTATTATCTCAATTTAGCTTCAAAACCTGCCCGGGAGGTCTAGGAAGGGTTTATTATCCTCTTTGGCAGCCCAGAGAGACAGGCACGGTGTAGGGAAAAGGACAGAGCACGGGAGTCAGAACCACATCCAGTCTGGCTACCCTACTTTCCAGCTGCGTGACCTTAGGGAAGTGGCTTGGCCGCGCTGAGCTCTCAGCTCACAGGATTTTGTAGAAACAGAAGGCACGCGGCAAAGTGTCTGGTACACCCGAGTGGCTAATTAATCCTAAAGCTTCCCAGGGTGTGGTCAAAGAGAGCCACGCAGGCCTGGTCCATGTCACCCAAGACTTGTGGCTGCATGGATTTGGGAGTCCTCTCGCCTTCTGCTGGGCCTCGATTTCCCCATAAGGAAAGCAGGGACTCGGCTTTAAGCACCTCCAGATATTCAGAGTTCACCACTTTGCAGAAAGATTCGCCATAAATGACTCCAGCGCAGGCCCATTGCGCAAGGAAGACGCTAGTCTTCTTAAAGTGACCCATTTCATCCCAAGGGCACCCAGATCATGAGGGTGTGCAACTGGGAAGGTAGTGGACTGTGGCAGTGGACACAGGAGGGTGAGCCAGCCTTGGCCTGGCCATTCAGTGGGGTGGGGATAGAGTACCCAAGGGACCAGGGCCAAGGCACACAGGGTCTGGACTCCAGGGATGGGAGATCAAATCCCAGCTCTGCCCTCATGGCTGTGTGACCTTGGGTGTCAGCCTCAGTCTCTTCATCTGCTAAGTGGTTTGATGACACTGACCTCACATTTTCCTCCTGAGAAGCAACCAAGACCTGGCATTTACAGAGCACTGAGAAAGGCTGGGAGAGGAACCACTCATCAGAGAGGGAGGCCAGGAAGGGGAGTGAATGGAGGTGGGGAGGCAGGCGAGGGGGTTAGGAACTCCGCTTTCTGGTGTTGCAGGTAGAGAAACTGAGGCAGGCAGGGGAGCAGTCTCATAGTTCTGGCATCTCCTGCTGCTGGCGGCCCTGGCACCCTTATCTGGCTCTCCATCGGAAAGGGGCATGTTCTGGGCACAATTCTAAGTAGCTCATGTCCTCATTAAGCCCTCAATTCTGGCCGGGCGTGGTGGCTCAAGCCTGTAATCCCAGCACTTTGGGAGGCCGAGATGAGAGGATTGCCTGAGCCCGTGGGTGTGAGAGCAGCCTGGGTAACATGGTGAAACGTCGTCTCTACAATAAATCAAAAAATTAGCTGGGCATCATAGTGCATGCCTGTAGTTCCTGTTACTTGGAAGGCTGAGGCAGAAGGATCGCCTGAGCCCACCATGTCGAGGCTACAGTGGTCGGGAGCGTGCCGCTGTACTCCAGCCTGGGCAACAGAATGAGACTCCAACTCAAAAAAAAAAGCCCCCACTTCTCTGTTCACAGCGGAGGACACTGAGGTCGGGGAGAAGTGGCTGGTCGGGCCTCATTGTGAGCAATCCCCATTCACATCCATGTCTCTGACTCCAGAGCCAAGGGTGGGGATGGAGGGCTCGGCCCGTTTCCCACCCGCCAGTTCTTCCTGGCAAGAAGGATCTCCACTCATGTCACCAGAAAGACCGGAGATCAATTTGACTCAGCTGGATCCAGTGGCCCTCAGCAGGTTCAAGTCCCAGGGTTAAGGCTGGTTGGCTGGCTTGGATGGACCACACGTCCCTCCCTGAAGTGCGGCTCACAGGATGAAATGCTCTGATCAGCCAGCCATGAGTCACTTCCTGGAGCCAGGGGGTAGGGGACAGTTGGTGTCAACCCCTCCCAGCAACCTGGACAGAAAGTAGAAGTGGGTCCCCAGAGGAAAGCTGAGGAGTGGGAACAGGGCTGCTGAAAGGGCCGTTGCACCTCTGCACATCTACCCAGCCAGGAGACAGCCGGCCCTGGGGCTTGGCGTGTGGTGCTGGGTGTCTTCTGCAGGGGGCCTGGTGTGGACGAGGGACAGGAAGTGTGGGTGAGCTGAGCCATTTGCTCAGCGGGAGCAGAGTGTGCAAGCTTTGCCGTGACCACAGAAGCTGCCGGGTCCCCCTGTGGGCTCTGCGGAGGCCGAGGCCCCTGTCTGTCCCCCGCCTGACTCCTTGGGCCTTCCAAATATTAGTCTGTGCTGACAGCTTGGCCTAGGCACTTGTTCAACCAGCCAGTGCCACCTGGGGATCCACAGGGCCACATGGAGAGGCCCCCAACAGAGACTAGACCGGTCCTCACTCTTCCCCACCCCCACAGTCGGGCCAGGCCCAGGGAAACCCACTTCCGCTTCCGGCCTGCCCCTCACTCCAGACCCCTGAGCTCAGGTCAGAAAGGACTTTAAAGAACCAGCCAGGCTGGGCTCAGTGTCTCAGCCTGTAATCCTAGCACTTTGGGAGGCCAAGATGAGTAGATTGCCTGAGCCCACGGGTTCAAGACCCGTCCGGACAAGTTGGTGAGACCACGTCTCTACAATAAAAAATAAAAAATCAGCTGGGTGTGGTAGCATGCACCTGTAGTTCCAGCTACTTGGGAGGCTGAGGCAGAAGGATTGCCAGAGCCCAGCAGGTTGAGGCTGGGTTGACCGTGAGCGTGCCTCTGCACTCCAGCTTGGGCAGCAGAGTGAGACTCCAACTGGAAAAAAAAAAACAAAAAAGAACCAGCCAGCTCCGTGTCAAAAACTTTGGGAGACTCAAATGACATTTGTACAGTTTTTCATTTGAATCTCCAGGAAATCATCAGAACAGCAGTACACACACATGCAGCAAGAGGAAATGATCTCATTATCTTAGACAGTACCGTGTCTGGTTTTAGTAAGCAGAAGCAGACAGCTTAGAGTGTTTCCCAAACACGGGAAGTCTAGGCAGGCTGTTCGTGGAATGCCATGGCTCCTGGAGCTTTCAAGCCCACGGGTCGCCCAGCGCCAGCATCCACATCTGGCCCACAGGGAGGCCCAGCCCTGGCTTGCAAGACTCCAGTGCTCCAGTGACAAAGCACTCACCACCTACAGGGCTGCTCCCTCCACATTTCCGCAGCTTCTGTTGGAAAGGCTTCCATGGAGAAGTCGGGCTTCCATGGAGAAGTTGCCCTTCCGGGCGCTCCCTTTGCCCCACTCCTGCCCACCCAGTATGGGCTGTCTGGAGGCCTCTGAGGGTCACAGTTGGCCTGCCTCCTGAGATCCACCCTCAGTTGGGCCTCTGGACACACAGCAGCCAATCGCTCCTCCCCAGTGGCTCCCGGTGTCTCTGGAAAGTTCTGCCGCTGGACCTAAGCAGAAGACAGCGCCCTCCACCCAGGGCCTTTGCCCAGGGGGGTACTTACTCAGGTCACTGAGCCCAAGTATGTGCACCTGCATGCGTGTGTATGTGTGTGTATGTGCATCTGAGGTGCCAACCCACTCGCTCTGCCCCACAGTAGCACAGGGGGTAGACACCACATGGGGGGTGGGCGAGGCCAGGCTCCAGATAGAAGGGAGCACCAGCAGGACTGGGGACCCCAGAAGGGTTTTGCCAGGAGGGGCCCGGGGACCAGGATGAGCCAAGCGAGGAGGAGAGTGGCCTGAGGTGAGCAATCCGCCCAGGCCGTGCTCAGGGGGGCTCACGTGTGTCTCCCCATCTTGACAGAACCTCTTCGACAGCATCAAGAGCGAGCCCTTCTCCATCCCCGAGGACGACGGCAACGACCTCACACATACCTTCTTCAACCCCGACCGTGAGGGCTGGCTGCTCAAGCTGGGTGAGGGTCCAGGCACATGCCCTCACGCACGCTCACGCACAAAGCACGTGGCTCATACTCACACGTCAAAATGCACACACACACGCGTGGGCACATGCTGACACACCCAGACACACGCCGACATGCACACACACACACAGGCACAAGGGTGACACGCTCAGACACATGCTGACACACCCTCATGCACCCGGGCACACACTGACACACCAAGACAGAAACTGACATGCACACTCATACACTTGGGCACATGGCTGACACACACATGCTAACACACTCATGCAGGCATAGGGTGACACACTTAGACACACACTTACACACACACAGGCACATGGCTGGCATACACTAACATGCACACTCACACACGCAGGCACACCGTTGATGCAATCAAACACATGTTGACACAACACATGCATGCAGGCACATGGTCAACACACTCAAATACACGCTGACAGGCACACTCACACTCATAGGCACACAGCTGATACAGGCACACGTTGACACACACATGGACAATGAGCACACTCACACAACCCAACATGCGCACACACACAGGCGCACGCTGACACGCTCAGACTCACCCACACATGAGCACACAGCTGCACATGGACACACACGCACATGCAGCCTCAGGGGTACAGTGGGGACGCCCCGATCTCCTGACGCCCAGCACAGCCGCCTCATTCATCCAGGGAATGAAGGAGGGTAGTGGGAGATGGAGGGGTGAGCTGTGAAGTGGGGAGAGACAGCCAGATCCGCAGACTGACCCTCCAGCTGTGGTCTGGTCTTCCTCCCCACCACCGAGGCCAGGAGAGACTCGGTGGGAAGCTCCATTTGCTCAGAACCTGCTGAGTGCAGGCACATGCTTGTCCCCACCAGGAAGTCCCCACAAGGAAGTCCCTGCAAGGAAGTCAGGGCCTCTGCCAAGCCCACAGCCGGCAGGTGGCAGATCTGGGGGGACAGAGGGTTGGGTGTCCCTGAAGGAGGAGCAGGATGCGGCTCAGGGCGCCTCCCCTCAAGCCGGTGGGGGCAGGGAGGCCTGCACCCGCAGAGCAGCTGGGGTGGTGCAGGAGGAAAGTCCAGCAGGGAAACCCCAGTGCCCACCCCCGCCCTGCCCCCCACTCCCAGAAGCTGCCCCAGCAGGGACAGGTTGGCCAGGGCAGCATCTCAGGGCAGGCGAGCACCGACGCCTCCTGTGAAGCAGGGCCTCGGCCTGGGCAGTCTCTGGGACCCGCTGTGAGGCCCGAGCCTCCTCCTCCCCGGTCCACCCT